CTTGAGGCTCAACTCCAACCGCTCGAGGTTGAGTCTCGCTGTTCGAGGACACGAGCTTGAGGCGATGGAAGGAGTGCAACGGAAAACAGTCCAGCCATCTTGAGCCGCGATGATAGCACCAAGATCAGGAATGCCGGCATCCGCTATGGAAGAGTGTCTGTTTGAGGGGTAGAACATCGACGCCGAACTACCGATTTGCAGGTCCGAGAAGGACTCGTCCATGCGAGGCGTCTGGACAGGCTGTCCAAATGTTTGAGCAGGCGACATTTCTGGTATCATACCAAGGATGCCATCCTGAGGCGGTCCCATACTCATGTCCATACTCATGCTCATCATCAATGCGGGGTCTATCCGCATGGGATCGAAGGTAGTATCCATGGGCATGCCATTCCAAGGGTCCATCATGAATTGAGGGCTCTCGTTGTCGGATTGGTCCCGTACTGTTCTGACGAAGTCATCGTATCCTGACATTGGCGTAGAGGTGACAAATCCGTTCATGCCGGTCACCGGCGTAGGGAGTGGCGAAAGAAGCGACGATGATTGAGCGAGCCCGTTGGAAGGAGATTGATCGAAAAAGGGCGGTGTATCAGAGATTGGCATATGAAGATGCAACGACTTCTCTTCGGGATTTATGTGTGTCGGTGGCTGTACCGGTTGTGAGATGGAAGGGTTTCGTGAATGAGGGGCTGAGGGCGACTGCGATTGTCTTTGCGACGGTGGCTGGCTGTCCGGAACATGGGAAGCCTGATGGATCTGAGAAGGAGAGGATTTCGACATGGCTGGTTTTGGCTGGCTATCGTGGTTTGGAGAAACATTGCCGGATGTGTTGTGCACATCCGCGTTGCTGCCGCTCTCGCTCGAGTCTCCGCTCCCAGCTTCTGGGGGACCCCCCACCCGTTGGACACCTTTCGACGCACGCCTTGTAGGACGTAACGTGCATTTCAGATTCCTCTGGGCGCACCGGGTGCACGGAAATTTCTTGTCGCACTTGGTCTTTGTCTTTGCACAATTGCTGCAGGCTATGGGTGTGCGGCCGGCGGATTTGGGTATTATCCCTTGCGGTGGGAGACCCTCTTCGTTATTCTGGTTGCGGCCGTGTACGGTGTAGTGTCTTTGCAAAAGATCCCTGAAGAGTCTGTCAGCGCTTTGTTTGGACCAATCGATACCACGGGAACAGAAAGAGCAAGGAAGCAGGCGAAGGGTGCCACGTACCGTCGAGCAAAGCTCATGTGACATGTGAAGCATTTGAATGGCTTGACGTTGGTGTCTGCTCAACTAAAGTGATTAGCAGACATCTCAGGAGACGATTGGATAGTAGCTGGCACAAGGAAGAACGAAGGAGCGAAGGATGAGGGGACGACGTACGAGTCAAGATATGTCGTTCGAGGTGCTCGTCTCTGGTGAACGACTGTCCACAGTATGTGCAAAAGACCATGTTGGAGGAGGAATTAGACGTGTGATCCTGGTGGAAACTGGACTTGATATGTTGGTCGACACGGCAATGGCCGGCTGATGGGTGGTATGAGGGTCTGAGGATGATATTCTGTACCAAACTTCAGATTGAGATCAATGCCATGAGATTCCAAGGCGGGGAGGATATCGAGGCGAAAGAGATGTCGGCAAGGCTCAAACAAGTGGGATGAGGGTTGAGTAATAGGTCCGAAGTCCGGTAGTCCTGTTATGGCTCTAAAACGGGGCGGGCATGGAAACCAGTCTTGAGCTAAGCGGAATAGCAGACGTCAAGTCGACAGCTAGACGTTTTCCGTTGGGACGTCAGACGGAAGCTGTGTGTTAGGATTGTTGTGGCGCTGACTGCAGAACGAGTCGACTAGCAGTGGTCTGAGCAGGACGAGATAAAAATCAGGCCAAGTGGTACAGCGGCTATCAAGTAGGCTGAGCACGTTGGAGTGGGTGACGAGAGATGGGTAAAGATAGAAGATTATCACGGGAGGAACGCTGGCGTGGGGAAGGATATTTCTCAAGCGTATAGAGGTAGGAAATGTAAGAGCGGGTTTGACTAGCGGCCTTTCCCAACAGGGAGTGTTGATTATGCATCTGAGCGACGATGAATTCATCAATTGAGGAGGGATCCTGCTGCACGAGAGGATGAGCTAGTGCCTCGCAGTTACATGCAGCGCGCCAGGCTCTTGGGTGGGTCGAGCCTGACCTGGTTAGCCGATGTTTGTTCGAGCGACCAGGGGCATCTGCACGGCGTTGATGATAAGACCCAGCGACAACAGGGATGCATCTTGGAGATCTGCACCGCGGACTAGATTGGTGGAGGGCAGGGTGGAGGTTCGTGCTGAGAGTGACGGGGGACGAGCGCCGAGCCCGCGTCAGCCACAAGTCCGCGAACCGAGTTGGCGCATGGCTCCCTGGGAAAAAGACAGCAAGACACCCGTACACCCGTAATGTATTCTGCACAATACGGCAAAATTACTGCCACGATCGGCGCCCGCATATGCGTCAAATCAGCACCGGCGGGGGCCTTGGGCATGCCTGTAAGATACACCAATGTCTCTATATAGACGCGTTCGAGGAAACCACTAAGGTTGCTGGCAGCGGTGAGTCCACCTCAGCTCTCGTTGCGAGCTATACGAAGCCTTTCGCGTCTTCATACTCCCGCAGGTAGTGATGGGCGGTACATACGAGATAACAGCTCAGGTATGTCAGCATCACGCGGCTGAGTCGTGGTTGACAGGTGCCGATTCACTGGAGATCTCACGAGTCTCTCCACTCGTCTCGGAACGTAAAACAATGCTTTCTCTCGTTCCGCGGCCACTAAACGAGGGAGGATAAGAGTCCTTTGTACCCTCATCCCAGATTGATGTCGTCGAAATTGTATCGATTTTCGGCAAGGTTCGCGCTTTGCAAGGCCACTGCAACAGTGGCTCACTACGCCAACCGAGGACCCCACTTCGATTCGACGCTTGCACGGCTCACTTGGATACTCCTGCTCTGTCCCCGTACTCCAGTGGGTCGTCAACTGTTTCGAACGGTGAGCCGAATGTGGCACTGGCTCTGGCGGGGCTATGATTATCGCGAGCGCCATGGCAGGTTCGAGTAGCGTGCTGCCTCGCGCGTACCAATGCTGCACGTGACCCCAGAACACAAAAGTGGTTCTATTACAGCTCCATGTTTAGTCAACGCAGGGCGGTTTTTAGATGGCCAGGCGGTGCGCTTGACACGTCTGGATGCAGTATCCCGCCTCTAGCCAGAAGCTGCTTGCTCACCGTCAAAATTTGTTGTAATTCAACAGTGAATTGCTTTATTTGGCGATCAGTTGCGGTCTACTCTGACAGCTCTCACTTCTGCTTTTTCTTTTAGTCCCAGAGGTTACCAAAGTTCGAGAGCGGTCACTGTACACGGTGTACCGCACGAATCAGTCGGTGAACCCGGCTGTACGTACTAGAGGCCCGCGGTATGCCGCTGAGGCTAATGTCGCGATTGCACCATCCAGTCAGGGTGTAATATCCGCGCCTGCTACCTTATTTTTCCATGATGCAGACGATACTGGAAGCACTCCGCAACGCCTGACAAGCCATGTATGTAGACATGCACTCGTAGCACGACAGAGGCTACCTGAAAGCCGCAGTCGACCTTGGAAATGGCAAAGATCATCATCTCAGCCTGAGACCTCCAGATAGGAGGCAGCAGGTGTCGCTTCTCAAAGCATCCTACCAGATGCGGGAACCCCACGCCAGCCCTAAGGCCGATCTTGACGGAAACAGGGTGCTCGAGCCAAACGATCGGCCCAACGAGGTCGGTCCTACGAATCGCTTCCGCTTGCAAGTTCCGCGCCACAGCACTGACGGGTTCGTGAAGGCGTGATAGAAAAAATAGCGACCGCGGACGTTTTCGCATTACGACTCAGATCTTCAGACCAATATGACAACAATTGCTAAGAATGGCATTTCTCGATAACTGAAACAAGCTTGGCCCCTAACGCTCTTGCAGTCGTGTCGCGCGTTATCTAACGCCACTGGTGTTTTGAGCACGGCCGACCTCATTTCCAAACTATTGTTTCGTGTCAACCGCTGCATCGTTACCACGCACGCAAGCGAAACGTACCTAACCATTGTACAGACTGTAAATTCCTTTCTTAGAACGTATTCGACCCGCCTCATCTTCACCCCATCAAGCAGACGTCTGGGCATCGCGGTCCGCGATGGGTGAGATTCAATCAACTCGAATCAAGAACACGAGGCTTGTCTCTTGCCGCGACCGTGAATATGGGCAGAGGCGAACGTGTTCCTCTGGCGCGATGTACCAAAAGTACTCTGCGTTCATGGCTGGCTGGATTGTATCAAGTTGCGTGCAGCCTGCAATGTAAGCGCATCCAGAGACTCATTCGAAAATCTCCTACGGTCACCTTCGAGCTCGCTGCCGGTTCAAACTCGGCACTTGGGGTGACACCTGCCTTTGGAACTTCGCAATGACGTAGGCTGAGACGTCAAGCCCGCTGGAGTGGCTTGATGGCTTGGAGTGTCTGTCCGTATTCTGACGATGTGTGGATGTTCGCCAGCGGCAACACCGAGAGCGGGCAGCGCCCCGACAGCCAGCTCGACCTCCAGCCGCTAGAATCTGACGCACCGTGCAGTACCGCAACGTCATATCATAAGCGCTTCAAGGGCGCTGCCTCTGAACCACTATGGATTGGAATATGTGACGGGACAAGTCACATTCGAGTCACGGGCGACTGTGATAGGGTAGCATACGATACGGTCCGCGAAAAGGTTATAGACAACCTTGGAAGGCCGCCCACAGCTGTTCAGAGTGATGCTGGACGCCTGTCGGAAATAAGTAGCATCAAAGCAATGCTAGGTCGTGTCAGCTTTCTCAATTGAGTTTTGCACTCGCCTGCGATATCTTTGAAGTTTGAACGAACAGCTCATGATCGTCATGAAATCTCCGTGATCGCCCATTGGACGGAAATGCAAAGCGGGAGCGGAGCTGCGATGAGCTGTCTGCCGAGAGATCCCGCTGTGGAGAGATCGCGCGCCTGTCAGACATTGAGACACTATAGCAACGTGGATAGGTAGGATTTTCAGGTTCCGGTTCCCCGTCCGGCACATGGTGCTTACTAGAGCCTCTAAAAAACTGCTCACTCGTTCACCGTTTGCCATTCTTCATGAAAAGAGCACCGCGACCACCGCGGTAGTTTCACACAAAGGATGACAGCATTTCCAGCAGACCATTCGCACTGATCATCGATGACGATCATGCAGGGTTTATGTACACAAATATTGGTGGCCCAGCAGAAGCACCCAATAGATACTAGCGTTTTCAGCGGTTGCGCTAACAGACTGCAAACTCCCCTCATTCCAAGATTCTGGGGATCTACTCATCAGCCATCTCAAACGGCAAGCCGCAAGCCGCAGAAGGTCAACAATGACTACCAAGCAAGCAACGCGCCAGAACGTTTACCAAGGAAGTTGGAGCGGCTTAAATCTTTAGCCTGCGGGTACAAGACACGTTCGGTCAGACTGCTTCCATTGGGGCAACAGCAACAGGCTGTCGGGAATCACACCATTTGCTGCGCATCTGTCAGCTGTAATCGAAGAATGCTTTGGATGTATGCAATGCGACATCCAGACTGATTCTGGTAGGTCCGCCTCCGTATGAGACTCGTGCTTCTCGCCACGTATTGTTTGGCAAGGAATTCCTAGATGATTACTTGCAGCTGAAGGAGCTCCGTCGGCCCACGGAATACCGCAACGCTCTTCGGCATTATTCCCAACCAAACAACCTTGCATACTGTGCGGAAGCCCTATCGAATCCGCTAGCATGACATACTACTCCTGTCTAGGAAATGGCCTCGCGTTTGCGTTACTTCCGCGAGTTTGCACTACTATTCAGATCCACATCTAGTTGTAATGTGTTCCTTCGCTATCGGGCTCTAAGCATCACCAAATCTTACTAGTCTCCGCAATCTCTCCGATGGCACTGCAAGGCAGAATACCACGGCCATCACCTTCTGGCTCAGCTTACGGCTCATCGTTAAAACATCATGATGTCGGCATGGCTCAGCTTCTTGCTCAGCACACCCAAACTTCGCAAGGAAGCTCCCGCTGCTAGGCGCTTGCTAGTGCTCTTGACAACGGATGCATGTGTACCTTGTGGCGTTCAGAGCGTGTTCTAGGCTTGTTCTGATCCATCGATGTATGTGTAGACGACGACATGATCTCAGTCTCCATCTTTCCATGTTTTATTACGGACATGAACACTCAGCATGCGCGCAACAAAAGCGACAATCCACCCACTCAGATGGTTGCCATCTCAGCGAGTTATGTCACTTGAGAGCTGGATTTGGCACGACTGGGGTCAATTCTCCAATTGCGAGCGCTCTCTAGCGAAGACCAAAAAAATTATTGCCATATCCGTTGGAAAGAGTAAGTCTACAGGTGTGTCCACGGTAAAGATCCGTACACAAGGTGTGGCCTATTGTAGGTAGAATATGCCTACTCAAATGCACGGTCGTAGACGACGGTAAGTGAGATGGCCGTGATTCTCGAGGGAGAAAGATCACAGAATAGCCTCACGGTATCACGCCACGGGTCATGCTAGATTGAGTACATGCCTTATCTCGAACGACGCATTATCCCCAGCTCGCGATTCTTACGCTGTCATGCAGTCACTATCTCAGCCGCTTGAAGATATGGTATTCAGGTGCAGTAAGCGGTTTATATGATTGTGGCTGTTCTTGTCTGCTATACTTCTTTATCGGCAGGGACTGCACCAGTGCGGCGGAAGCGAAATCCTCGTATCACGCTTTTACCCTCAAACGCGGCTCCTGGAAAGCGGACCGAGAGGGCCTCGCCGGGTCGGTACTTGTCTCTGATGGTCGCGCAATCTAAATTGTCAATTTCTGTCCATGGTTTGTCGCCGAGCCAACTTTGCCCACGGCGGCTTCAGTATGTATATTGTCTTACTTGCGTTCTTCTCCCTCTCATTGCATTTATCCAGTAATGTGTGCACATGGGAAACCCGGATCCCCAGGCACTCACAATCTCGCGAGCGGCCTGCAAGGCGAATGTGCAATGTACTAAATCAGGGTTGCAAACGGGTTTACCGAGTCGCCTACATCCTTGCTCCTTTTGTTATATCTGAAATATACTCATCACTATAGTAACACGAACATCATGCCGAGACCAAACTTGCCTATCCCAGAATCAAGGAGAACACGCGAAGTGCTGCGGTAGCATGCTCCATTGTCCATCGAATCCAGAGGCCGGGATCACATCGCTGGCGGTAGGCAGTACCACGACATTTAATGTGGCTTCGTATGCAACGGAGCAGCGCTCCGGATGATTGACCGCAGCATGTTCGTGTCCGGGTTCACATTTCAAGCATACCGGGGTACCGAAATTTACGCGGTATTGAAACCATTACACAGATTTGTAAAGCCAGAGCAGACCCTGCATCGTACCTATGGGTATCAAGACCATCGCTACTTCTGTAGTCTGACGGGGACGACGACCCGCTGTCAAACGCCACTACTTGTGCTCGCACGACCGTGGCTCCAAGTCGTGTAACGAGCTAGATTATGCAGTACGAGATTTGATGCATCGCTTCAACGTGGCTCAGTGCTCACGCGCGTGGCTTTTCTTGACCACAGGGTGCTACGAACTGTTCACGGGTCTCAAAAGTCCATGGCACAGAAGGCCCGCCCGAGGGGTCGAAAGCGTGATGATGCAGTCGATGGATGCCGTACTGTGATATCAGATCGGGTAGTACAAGCATCGGACCTTGGAGGGTTGCATGCAGCGTCGCTACGGCGCGATAACGTCTCAAGACTCATGAAGACGTGTTCCATTGGGACTAGATGATACTTACAATTTTACAAGCGCAGTGGTCACACACTATTAGACTTACCTCATGATTCATCGGTGAGATGGCTCATGCATTCTCACAATGTACGGCCTGACGAAAATGCTGTGTACATGTGCTTTTCGTGATAAGCCTCCTTTTGGACGCAACAAGGAAGTAATGATTCTTGGAAAGGCTCGATTCAGTCCGCGTCAAGATCACAAGAGTTACTGACTGAATTACAGTAGATCTATGACGACGTCGTGTTCATATTACACTATACTCTCAACGTGCTGTTCCTCATTGTCATCGAATAACTAAAGATTCACGCAGATATCTAGCCACACTGCAGCGCCTGTAACTATTTGCGCATGCTTGTGAAACTGGCACTCATCCTCCGCATGATGGCGTCAAATATTGATATACGGAGAGTAAAAATACTTCTAGCCCTGGAAACGGCATTACAGAAACTTGTGGTGTGATTCCTTCGTCTCATTTTGACATCAATGCTATATGTTTTTTATTGAAATCGCAGTGCGGGATATTTCTATGTCGCCGGCGCAACCCGAAAGGAACCCATAGCTCCACTGTTTACCGACTTGATGGTCTAATTCGTCATCGAGTATGCGTTTATAGCTACTTACAGCCTCGAATTCTGGCACATAACCTTCGAAACACGATGGCTCATCCCGAACGTATCGCTTCCCGATGAAGGTTCTCCATCGTGTCCCTTGTAACTTCTCCCAACGTCAATATTGTCATGACCGGTAGTAACTCTATTGGACGGGTTTATCCCTACTAGTGCTGCGGTTGGTCTGGTCTATGGTAGACGGTTATCAAAGCCGCTATGGATGGACAAGATTTGTCACCATGGGATTTGTGGTCTCCGCGGAGGAGATTGGGTGTCTGAGTTCAAAAGATTTTACTGTCCACTAATGCAAGATGGCATGTAAGAATTGTCTCTTCATATGGATACGACTTATTTCCAGGTAATCTTTGACACTGTACATGATCATGGTCGCGAGCTATTACTAAGTGACGAAGTGCAATCAATTGTCGAACAGTCGGCATGTGACTTTCAGTGACCCGCAGAGTGACTTTGCGTGGGCATGGTATGGTCATACTTCTTTCTAGCTCCTAGACCATTGCAAGCAGTCCTTCCTTTGGCCGTCTAGTGCATTAAGTGCTTGTGGAATACGTGAGCCAGGGCTTTCAGAGGTCGTTAGCGATGGTTGCAGGCATACGCAGCCTCGCAGCAGTGAATGAATCCAGTGCAAGACTATGCCCTAACATCGTCCCTGCGTTTGAGGTAAAATTATTGCTATCGGTGATTCTCTATTCTGCCATTGAAGCGACGGTCCGGGGCGAAGACGCGCTAAGCCTCGTCGTCATTTGTCGCCACACTATCGTTTCAGGATCCAACCAAGATCCAGCGGATCCTAAGCGATCACTTTAGCCGCTCGCACTTGCTGCACTTGGATAAAAGGGGCGCTAATGATGCTGCAGCTCGTTCCCATGTCTTCTCGTGGGGTGTTCGCTGATCGCGGAAGAAAGCTCCGTACGCTAGAACAAACTCCGGAGTATCGTTATGCCAGATCTAACCTTCGAGACCTGGATGTTGGAATCCTGTGACATTGATGATGCCTGTTGTCGTCAGATGGCTACGCTTCGTTAATGTGGACCGATTTCTATCTTCAAATCGGCGTGGCTGACAGATGCGTGTGTCGACTGCATGTGTTGCATACAAAATGCTCGCATCATCGATCTTGCCGTTGCCTTCGGCCCGCCCTTGTCACCTCTACGGCCCGTTAGTCGTCGAACTAGACGAAGTATTGCCTCGCTTGGGGAACTTGTTGCGTTGAGATAGTGAGGAAGCACTAAGTCTTCGATGATGCTCCCGGTGGCGGCGGGGTTAGCCAGCTACAGCAAGGATCCAACGCCTATCTGGAGTAGTCGAACGGGTTTGAAGAGTGAGTCGGTTCCGGCGCGGTTGGTCATGAGATGAAGATAACTTTGAAGACGAGACTTTCCAATCTCGAAGCGATGAGTTTTGCTTTCTGGCACATGGACAAATACTGCAACGTACAGCCCCTTTCCGAGCCTCTCACTAATTTCCGGTTTTACTTCCTGTGTGCATCAATATTGGTTCGGGATTTGCTGAACTTGGACATGAGGCCAGACGAAGCCCTGCACGTTTGCCGTTACGCTAACACAAACGTTCCGGTCTGTCCCACCAATTGTCCATGCCAGATGTCTAAGCTGGTCGCAATCTTCGAAATGGTGACTGTATGAGGCGACCCGTTTGGCGAGAGCGGTGATGACTGTTGCAACATTGGGTTGATGCCAGCTGTGAGCAAATTCTGTCAAACATACACCCGCAGAATGCATAGCAGAATCGGTTGATACCGCTTTGTAGCCTGTCTTGATGGCATGGGCCGTGGTGGATACTGATCTCGCTACGCATAATCGGTACAGCATCCGGCTGCTGTTGTGAGCATCATGCATCTTGAAGTAGTGGCGGTAGGGAAATTATCAGTCGAGACTAGTTCTACTATGTTGATAGACTTGTAAAGTTGGGACCTTCTTCTCAACAATCTACCGCTGCATGTATCCGGACAAGAACTTTGGTCGACGTGGGGCCGGCGCTACAGCTGCAGCGTGCGTGGTGCATCTGTCGACTGTGCTAATGTCTAGAACAGCTGTCTGATAGCCTGCGAGCACACGGGCGTCTATCACATGCTCGCCTGTAGTTGTTGAGAGCGCTGTTGACCAAGTCCATGCTCTGCAGGATACACCTGGCGACTCTTCGGTCGCTAGCCGGAGGGAATTTTCTTGGAATAGCAGCGCGCAGCAAGAGTATGTAGCTGGGTTTGACACATGATAGTATAGGTACCATTCGAAGTGGAGCTGCATCATACGCACTGTACCCCTATTTTCATGCTGTTGGTGTATAGACGCGGGTACGTGCCGTTCCTGAATGCTGCTACCAGTGCAGACGGGGGAAAAGTAACTTGAATGAAGAAAAGAGAAAGAGATGAGGTGGGTATGCGCTGAAAAGGGAAAAAGCGTCTTGTAGAAAAGGAAAGTTGACCTGAGCGCCTAGCTTCGCTCGATATAATCTGCGACATGGTGCCAAACAGAGTCGATGGTCTTTTTGGGGGCTTCGAAAAGAGTGTGAAACATCAGTCGAGATGAACTATTTCAGGGCTTCTCGAAGCACTCAGGGCGATTTAACTTTGCGCCTCGCAATACATGCGATTGGCTACGCGATTCGCGACGCGAACGAACCCCACAGACAGTCGCGTTTCGCAGAGTAGCAAAACGAGATCCACAAAGTGAGGTTCTATTCTCAGCGTCAAACATGAAGTCTCGCACGACGGTATGGATCTGGCTGCTGTCAGGGACAGGCGTGGCAGACAGTTGGCCAGGTGTGGCTGGGTAGCGAGCGACACGTGTGAAGGGCGGTGGCGGGCGGCAGAAAACGCACCGTCGATCGTTGGCGGATTTGCTTATTCGGTTCTCCGCTCTCCGTGATGAACGTCACCTCGTAATCACGAACACGCTCATCTCTAGCACGCTCGATAACTCTTTCGCGACTAGGCCATCCGCGCCACGAAGCTCATCGAAAGCCTTCAGCCAGTCGCCATTGATGCTACAGGGGACGTCACGCTTCGCAACCGCGTTCTCACGACGTCCGTCCGAGCTTGCAGTCCGTTCGTTTCGCCCACGACCCAACGCCAGGAGACGCACGGAAACAAGCGAGGACCGCCCGGAACTACCGTGATGTGCTCAGAGATACCCTAGCAATCTCTAGACTGGTTGCTCTACCTTATACGCCCGGACTACCGCCTGTGGCGCCGATAACAGGGACACCGGAATCTGAGTCGAGCTGACTGTAGTACACGCAGACAGCAGATCCCTCAGCCTACAGCGATCTGATTCCGCACTGGGAGAGCGCCATGCAGATACACCGAGCAGTTCGTCAACGGCGCTCCTTGTGTGGCTGATGGCTTGGACGCCTGGACCCCACCATCGTCAAACATCCACTTTTCACCCAAAGAATGGTTTTGCCCTATGTGTTTATTCGCAGACCAACCCGAATAGGCCAGCCCGATGAGCTGGCGCTCCGACGATCATGGTGAGAGTATGCGACTCCCAGTTTCCGAGACGTGGGCCTTGCCTCCTGCTAGCCCTTACCAGCAAGTACCTCCACCTAGCTACGAGTCCGAGCGGGGACTCCAGAAGCTTGATTGACGTCTGCAACGCTGTGGAACCACTCTATTTGGCGCATACTTGACGAGACGCTGACTGAGATTCGGCAGCTTCTGGAATCCGCTGCCGTATCATATTGCCTCTTGGCTTATCAACACCATGGTTTGGCTTAGCATCGCCTGGTATACTTCGGTACAACGTGTCGACGACCCGAACAACCCAATTAGCCACGAGTGCATGGCACGGATACACACGAGG